CCGGAACCCCAGTCTCTTTGTCCCTTGTTCACGCCACTTAGTGTCCCCTCCCTGCATCCTCCCCCTCCCAGGGGCCTGTGCATGGGACAGGACCTCCAGTCCCTTTGTCCCCAGTTCCTGCCATCCAAATTTAGGGTTTCTCACTTTCCATGCCAAGGGGTCTTCTTCCCAGGACCCTCTGTACCTGGGAGTCCCTGCGCGGGAAAGATTCCTGCCTCCTGGGCTCCCAGGTCCAGAAAGCTCACTAAATCACCATTGGCCCCAAGAGAGTATCCCCACCAATCTCAGGGTAACTGCCTCTGTTCGTGGGATGCCTGGCTGAAACCAGGCAAGGGAAGCGTTCTCGTTCGGGACACAAATGCTCCACCTGGCCGCCGTCCTTCTATACGAACGGTGGCCACCCAGGGAAGCACTCATTAGTTACTTACCTTGTGATTTCACACTGTATGTTGCACTTTGTCTACTTTCTAATTGCATGGTGTAAACACTCCAAGAGGCACTGGGGCGGTCTCCATTCAGTAACAGAACGGAGTGGGAAGCAATCCATGAATGTTCCCCCTGGATGGGTTTTCATCTAATGAATGGGCCCAGGGTCGGAACACTCCAAGGCTTCCCTTGCAGTTTGTGGTTTACACACCTCGTTAACTAGTGCGAACATTCTAACGAGGTGTGAATGTTCCAAACAAAGATTCTAAATGGGGTATCGAGGTGGTGCTCGTTTGAAAGTCGAACAGAACTCATTCGTATGTTGACTCCCGAACGGGGAGTATGTAAAACATAAGAATACATACAATATTGGGGAAAATACGGGGACCAGCAATTCACTAGCATGTAGAGGTCCCGCCACAGAGAGTAAGAGAAAGAGTATGATAAAGAGAGAGTGAAAGTGAGAGAGTAAGAGAACGAGAGCAAGAGAGAGAGATATAATAAAAGTAAGAGAAACAGGGAGAGAGTAAGGAAGAGAGAGTAAGGAAGAGAGAGTAATATAGAGAAAAAGTGAGAGAGTGAAAGTAAGATAGAGAGTAAGATAGAGAGAGTAAAGAAGAGAGAGTAAGAGTAACAGAGAGAGTAAAAGTGAGAGTAAAAGTGAGAGAGTATGATGGAGAGAGTAAGAGAGAGAGTAAAAGTGAGAGAAAACAAAAGTAAGAAAGAGTAAGAGAGAGTGAAACTGAGTGAGAGAGCGAGAGTAAGAGAGCATAAAAGTGAGATAGAGAGAGTGAAAGAGAGTAACAGAGAGAAGAATGAAGAGAGCAAGAGATATAGTGAAAGTGAGAGAGAAGTGCTGATGTAGAAATAAACAGATAAAATAATGATTATCTGTGATATAATGATTAGAACGTCAATTTGAATACATTAAACATAATGATGAGTTTTCTTTAATTCTCTAAAACCTTGAAGCATTTCAGCTGGATTTAGGAGATAACAGAACGCCCCCTCGGTATGACTTTATAAAGTGCTGATTTTAGAGAAAATGACACATTTTGTCCGATGTCAGTCAGACCAACATGACGGCTAGCTGCCTCAGTCCATAAAGACACATTGCTGGTGAATTGCCGTGATTACCGTCCCTGCTCACTGCATCCCAAAGCTTCTTTCACAGAGTCGGTGACTGGAGATCATTACTAGAGACAGAAAGCTTAGAGGAGAGGAAGCTGCGTCGGGCAGACCCTGCCTTCTGTTAATTACAAGTAGGTAAGAGAAACCCGTACTGCTCAAGGGGTTATTACTAGCATTACGATGTTCCCATGAATATTTCAATTACTGGGCCTTCACCTTGATTTAAAAATAATATAGAAACATGCCATGAAACAAATTCTTACTACCCAATAACTACCCCATAGAGGAACATTGTCAATATAGGGTGACTGCATAGTAATTGCTGCTCTCTAAAAATGAAGGAAGGAAATGCAGGGAGCGTCGGATGGATTTGCTTTCATCGTGTTGAACGATGTTAAATGTGAAAACCTTCGATAAAGAGGTAATTCCTCTAATCAGTCAGTCTGACTGCCCCTCCAGGTGTGGTTTTAGACAACATACATGAAGACAAAGTCATTTTGCTGCTTAACATTTCCTTCTAAGTGTGCTTTACAAGTCACATATAGTTTTTTTGTAACTTTGAAATTCAAAACAAAGGTTGGCTTGTGGGGCGGACCCCCAGCATTGAATACCATGCACACTGCTTGTTCGTGAATTTCCCTCTTTATATTATGTGTGTTTTCCCATGTATTTTTATGCCTTTTGTGTATTGTGCCTGGTGGGGGAGAAGGAGCAGCTCTGTAAAGTAGAGTTTAGTGAATTGTATTGCTCTGTGCCTCTCCCTTTTCCGCCTCCCTTTTCCTGTCACAGCAGGACGTGGACACAGGGATGCTGCCAGCTCAGGATGCAGGGGCTGCTGTGTCCCTCTCTCATCCCATCAGCTTCTTGGGATGGAAACCCCTGTTGTTTTGTGCTGGAGACCCCATGTAGAAGAAATAAACAGTCAGTCATTGTTGTACTTCCAGGACTGTGTGTCATCCAGTTACTGGGAGGGAAATGGATGCCTGTTTGTTGTAAGGGTTCCTGAGCAGCTGAAAGAAGGGAATTAGCAGAGGAAATTGGTTGGGTTACCTGTGGATCCCCAGGTAACCCAACCGATTTCCTCCGTTAATTCCCATCAGGCTGGAAAGGAAGGGGTTAATCAATATTTCTATATTTATATAATGCTCACTATACAGTCTAACAGATTACTTCCTTGATGCAGGTAGAGCAGGACTTGCTTCAATGGTGAGAGTCCCATTGACATTCCAGAGATGTATCTCATCACGATACTCGCGCTTCTATCACTCCGTAAGTCACATATTTACCAACAATATATACAGATATTATGTGACGATAAATGTTGTTTTTTGTAGTTTACATATAACAAAATCAATCAGGTTACAGTATTGGCAGCTCACTGTCTCATGAACATAAACAACGTTTTGGTTTGTGATACATTTTTCCAAAAGAGAAATTCAATGTTTCCATTTTATGTTAAATGCCACAATTATCTTTTTACTATTTCAGGTGTTTGTACAACTACCATGACTTCAGTGACTACTACAACCATGATAGATATAACTCCAAATGATACTACAACAACAACAGCTCTTGCCCAGCCACCTGCTCCTCCATCAACAATAACCGTTTCTCCAACAGCAATTGTTCTTCCAAACGCTACAATTGTAGAAACAACTGTTCCTCCAACAACCACAACTGTAGAAACCACTGTTCTTCTAACAGCCACAACTGTTGTTCCAACCACTACAACGACTGAAACAACTGTTCCTCCAACAACTTCAACTGAGGAAACAACTGTTTCTCCAACAACCACAACTTTAGAAACAACTGTTCCTCTCACCACTACAATTATAGAAACAACTGTTTCTCCAACAACCACAACTGTAGAAACCACTGTTCCCCCAACAACAACAACAACTGTTCATCCAACCATTACAATTGTAGAAACAACTGTTCCTCCAATAACCACAACTAAAGAGACAACTGTTCCTCAAACAACAACATCTGTGGAAACAACTGTTCCTCAAACAACCACAACTGAGGAAACAACTGTTCCTCCAACAACCACAACTGTAGAAACCACTGTTCCTCTAACAACCACAACTCTTCCTCCCACCACTACAACTATAGAAACAACCTTTCCTTCAACAACCACAACTGAGGAAACAACCGTTCTGCCAACAACCACAACTGAAGAAACAACTGTTCCTCCAACAACCACAACTGTTGCTCCAACAACTACAACTATAGAAACAACTGTTCCTCACACCACTACAACTATAGAAACAACTGTTCCTCAAACAACCGCAACTGTAGAAACAACTGTTCCTCCCATCACTACAGCTATAGAAACAACTGTTCTTCAAACAACCACAATTGCAGAAACAACAGATCCTCCCACCACTACAACTATAGAAACAACTGTTCCTCCCACAACTCCAACTGAGGAAACAACCGTTCCTCCAACAACTACAACTGTAGAAACCACTGTTCCTCTAACAACCACAACTGTTGCTCCAACATTAACAACTATAGAAACAACTGTTCCTCCAACAACTTCAACTGAGGAAACAACCATTTCTCCAACAACCACAACTGTAGAAACAACTGTTCCTCACACCACTACAACTATAGAGACAACTGTTCCACAAACCACTACAACTATAGAAACAACTGTTCCTCCAAT